CAAGGGATTCCCAGAAACTTCGGCCTGCGTCGAAAGCGCATAACCTGCACCTGAAATCGCAGTTACCCTGAACAGCAAATTCTTCACCGCAGCTTCCAGACCCTGAACACTAACACTTAAAATTCCACCCAACTTCGCCTCCTGATATGCAGGATCACCGCATTTCTTCCTACCTTTATCCCACCTTTCGGAGCCCTTGAAAAACACGCAAGAATTCCTACAGGACCAGAGCACCGTATGCAACAAAAGCTTCAAAGACAAAAGCATTGAATCAAACATGCTACTGAAGACGAGGACAAATACCCAGAGCCTCCGAGTCCAAAACCCCTTAATTGAGGAAATTACCTTAAATTGTAATAGGATCCCGCATATGATTCAAGCCTTACTTAAGGGGTTTTGGAGGCTCTGGGTAGAAAGCAGCAAGCTCTAAACCCTAAAGCTTTCGGCCTGCTGGGGTTCGGCTCCCCGACTCACGGGAGGGCCTCCGTGCATCCGGCGGGGGGCGGGTTCAGCGCCGGCGCTTAGGGTTTAGGTATGGGCTTTCTTTCAAGGGTATAAGATGTATAGAGATTAGAGTATAGGATCTGGGGGAATCTAGGTTTCAGGGTATAGGGTAGAGGGCTTAGGGGACAGGGATTAGGGTTTAGAGCAGAGGATTGAAAGCGAAAGGTGTTGGATGAAGGTGGTGCAGGGCTTGTACTGAGCCTCATGCGGATTTTTATGGAATTGTTCACAGGATTCTATCTAGCTATCTATCTATCTGCATGCGTAAATGTTTATGCGTATGTATATTTACATATATATATATATAAATATATACAAACAGTCATGGGAAGAGTTGATATGGTGATTCATAGCTTTCTAGGGGCCTGACGACTCCAACATCCCTCAGTTGGGGCAAGAACCCTGTCACAAGCTCGGAGTAGGGCTTCTTTAGACCTAAGAGTAGCCTAGGAAAAAATGGTGCCCCTTTTTGGTTTAAAGGTGGTTTTAAGGGAACCTGAACCCTAAAAAAGGGAATAAGGGCTTACTCTGGGTCCTAGTTACAGGTGCTCCACAAGTTTGTTGGATGAGGGAAGTAGGCTTAGGCATCACGGAATGTTGGAGTCGTTGAGTTCAGCCGACTCCAACTTCCTGGGCCATCATAATCATATAGGCCTTAGTACACACAATCGGGTTTTGGGGTTTGGGAATGCAACTAACTATATGCAGGCATCCCTAATACTAAGGCCACTACGTTCCAAAAGCTGAAGCTTAAATCCGCCAGGCCGCCGAAAGCCCCAAGCCCAAACCACCCAAATCCCCCAATCGACGTCCCAACTCACAAGCCAGGAGCCCCGAAGGGTGCATCTCAACAAGGCCGCGACAGACGGCAAAAAGGCGATCGAAGCCTGGGAGGGGGGGGCTGGTTTGGCGGAATTACGGTGCAGGGTGCTGCAAGCATGCCCGAGACCCGAAAACAGAAAGGTGAGGGTTTAGGGCTTAAGGTTTGAATTTTCTCCACTGTCTTGGTATCCAAATAAACTAGGCTAGCATCACGGACCTTGGAACCATCATCCCAAAAGCAAAACACTACATCTCAAACCTTCGCCTAAACAATTACCAATACTATTGTGGGGGCTCCTTGTTACAATTATGAATTATGACATACTGGGCCCCAAAGCCCTGTTATTAAGGCCCCTACGGTATCCTGGTCAGCTGAGGTGTGCACAGCGGCTGCAGCGCAGGGCCATGTCGCGCTTGCGCCTCGCATGCACACGGAGGGCTGGCGTGATGAGCTCATATTGAGTTGAGAATGTAGTTTCGACTTATGAACAACTGTTTGCAATATCCCGTTATAGTCTCCAGAAAACTAGACAACACTTCCTACCCTCAAGCACAGTTCCGTCAGTCAGACCCCAATATTGGATCTTGAGCCTTTCGAGATCGGACTAATGCACCACCCATCCCGAAACATAAGGGTCTACGGTATGGAACGGAGCTGAGTTTGGAGGCGGAGGTCCGAATTACCAGACGTACTCGATGATACGCCTTTGCAGGCAGTGGCTGTTTGGTCCTTGGGCTGCAATCCTGCAAGTTGCAATGTACTTGCCCCGAAAGCACACAGCAAAAACAAAGAAACACTTCGTGTTTACAATGACCGGCTTCCGTGCAGAGTCGCCGTGGCAGGAGTTCAAGGTATAGGGTGAGCCCTTCAATCTTCAAACGGTAGCCTCAAAACTGCAAGTGCTCGAATAGTATATAAGCCTTAAGAAAGGGACTAGGGCTTTAGGTGGGCATAGTAGTGCCATAGTTCGGGAGGAACGATATACAGGGAGTTTTCGTGCCTGATCTTCTCCCGATCCCAAGCGCCTGAACGCCTCGCGTTCTTAAACCCCAAAGCCCGGAAATGGACCTACACCCTAAGGTTTTTCGCTTGAAGCGCAGCAGAGGCTCAGATGGAACCCGTCATAAGATACGACCGTGCTCAGCGATTGCACCCTAACCCAAAGCCGAACATAGGGCCCTGAAAGGCTAGCAATTGCATCCCCTTTTAGCCCCTAGTTTTGATATGCCTTCGAATCAGACTTTACCCAAAGAGCCTATACTGATCATTAAGTCGTTGAGACGGCCCAATATTGAACTCGCCAGAGTTTCTGCCAACTCCAAACAGTGCGATTGGCCTTCCGAGTGTGCAGGAGCACTGCCGAGTGAATTGAGAGAAGATGGCGGCGCACATGAAATCGGTTGTTGGGTAAGGTTGGGGTTGACAACGGGCATCAATTAGCAAAGGTAACCTCTTTGATTTGCTGGGTCGCACCGCATAGGCAGCCCGATGCCCTCACTCTTAAGGATCCTCGAGCAACAACTTAAGGTCTTGACATGCAAGGTGCGGCAGCCGCAGTGCTGCATGTCAGAAGCTTCTGATGCTGATCCAAACCACCCTGAAGCACATGCTTATCTTCCCCAATTCCGACAACCACACAAGCCCCACCTAAACTCCCAAAATCCCAAGCTCTTTTATGGCCGCGTCGCTTTTCAAAGGTTGCTTTCACGCTTGGGGGGTTGGGGTGTAGGATCCCTCACCCTACACCCCGTGCCCGAAAGTCCGAGGCTCCCCGTCTACGACGGTGAACCGTCCGACTCCGACGGCACTGGGTTGCCATGGGAAGCTAGTCTGATGGGCCCTTTGACACCACAGCTCTCTCATAGTTTACTAGGATGCCCAGTAACCTAGGAATACAAAGGGCTGTATTGGGTAACAAGGAAGGAACCTTGGACTACAAAAGGGGAATAAGGGTACTACTGGGCATCATAGTTTAGAGTCGGGTTTTAAGGATGAAACATCGGCGTCGTTGAGTCGCTGTTGCAGGAGTTGGGTGTTCTGAGTTCAAGCCTCTCAAGCAAGCTTTTTGCGGTGCGTTGAGCTGATCCGTGGTGAGGGGTGGCTTTTGGTCTAATTAATATAGGCGCCTTAATAATTAGAATAGGGCCTTGGGGAATAGGGTCTTGGGGCCCATTCTACCATAGGCGATAATAAGGACACCCCAAAATAGTATAGGTAATTATGAAAGCCTCTCTCTATACTTACCTTTGGTTAGTAGGGAATGGAAGAATGGTAGTAATAGTAGTCATAATTGTACCCCATTCCTCCATTCCATACTGACCCTAAACCCTAAACCCTAGACCTAAACCCCTAAACCCTAAACCCCTAAACCCCTAAACTCCATTCCCTACTAACCCAAGCCTCTATAGTATCAGTCTTGGAGCCGCTCGGAGCCCCGAGCTTTAAAGTCTTAGCCTTGGGCGCAGACGTATCCATAAATGAAGCACGTGTCCGGTTCCTCCAAACATCCACTACTTGGAGGTTCATGGGTAGTAATAAGTAGGGTCATAAATCGGGGTAACTATACTTATAACCCTAATTAAATTAAAGGACTTCTAATCCCACTTGTGACTCCACCTGAACATCCACTGCCCTCTGAAGTTTAGGGGCGCAAGGACCGTGAACCCTTCAACTCGAGAAGCGCACATGCCAGGTTCTGAAACTCTGCTAACTCCAAAACAGAACTCCACTCTGTCCTCTCAGTTTCTCCTCGCTTTGGGGATTTCGAGCTTAGGGGATTTAGAGTTTATGGACAGTAGTTTAAAGTCTGGGGTTCAGGGAGAACCCAATCCCTGCATCGCTCACAAACCCTGGATCACAAGCTCTGGTACCTAAACCAGACATCTCAAGTTAGCTTCTTGCACAACCCAGCGCAGACTGCAGGCGGCAGCTTGTAAAATATAAAGTGCCCTGGGGATCAGGGTTCGAAGTGCTGGGATTTGGGTTCCGATGTAAGTTCTAGCTTTGGCGTTGAGGCGTTTCGGCTGAAGATGCTGGGATCAGGAAAATGCGAACCCTCAATGGCAGGATCTAGCTCATAAGGACTCCAAAATGCGGCGCTACTCGGGGTTTTAGGATGAGGGCTTCAGCCCTTGGCAAGTTTTGAGCTTGAACGCCGAGCCTGAGCCCCATAAACCAGAGTTGAAATCCTAAATACAGAACTTCTCACGTCGTCTACTTGGAGGTACTAAGGGTCCCCTAACTAAGGTCATAAGTATAGTTACCCTACTTGTAACCCTCTTATAACTATCCATGAACCTCCAAGTAGCGATGAGGGTTTAGGGTTCTAGGCCTTCTCATTTCTTTACTGAAGAGACTGGTTCTTCAAGAACCTTCGCACTAAAGAGGTGTCGCGCCCTGAAGCGGACTAAGGAGCGAGCACACACGAACAAGGAACCTGGGTTCCACGCGCAGTATCTCACCTCGCCTGAAGCTCTCGAGTGTGAACTCTGAGCTATAGAATGGTGAATTTTTTTTTGAAAGGAACTCACCTCAAATTTGGTGGGTGTTTAAAGCTCTTTACCTAGATCCCGCACACCTTGTACAGCCAAACCTCAGTGCGAATCCCGAAAGTTCAGCTCACTCTTAAAACCCCTCACCAAACCTCAAAAGCCAGCACTTGCTCTGCTCTTGCTCAAATCACCGCAATGGCGGGGGAGAGAACTGGCCAGTTGACCAAGCCTCATCGGGGCTTCAGATTTCGTGACGTTAGGGGCTCGGGGTTCCAGAAGGGTGGGGAAACTTCCGGGGGTCCTATCCAGGGTTTCACGAGGGCTTATGAGTCCCCTAAACCCTAAACCCTAAACCCTAATGAGGGTGGCTAAGGATTTCAGGCCTCAGGGCTCAGGGCTCAAGTTGGCTACGGATGGTCATGGTCATGATCGTGCTGAGCATTTGGGAAGTAGGTTCAAGCTGGATGGTTACAGCATGGCCCTGGGCTTCGGCTAACATAGGCCGTATCTTCAGAACAGAGTAACAGAGCTTTTGGGACCAATGATACTTCTGTTGCCGTAGGAAACCCCTGTTACGCAATGTCGAGTTTGGGGAGCTCAGCGGGGTATTATGGTTAAAGTTGCATTTCAGCATGGCTTCGGAAGTGATTATTTGTCTGCGCATGTATGTATGCATGGCTGAGTATGCATGTGTATATATACAGACAGACACAGAAATGTCTATATACGTATATACATATACATACGTATACATAAGCAACAAATACATATAGGAAGGTGTACATGTTTGTACGTGTATGTAGGCATGCATGCATGTATGTATGCATGTGGGTGTGTATGCATGTATGCATGTATGCATGTGTGTATGTATGTATGGGCAGAAGTATGTTTACATGTTTGTGAGTTTCATTGCTGCATTGATTTAAACTTTACGGCATACGGCTTAGGGCTTACACGCAGCTCAGACCCCCATGTTGATTACCTAGAGCCAACGAGAAAAATTGCTTGGAATGCTCACGAACCGTCGATCTTCACTATACCGCGAAAGAACTGCTGCAACAGCCGTAAAAATCGCTCTGCAGCTTTGGGACGTCCGTGGTGAGAGTCCTGCACCGAGTCAACATCAACACTGCTTTCGAGCTTCTGGACACGATTCCAGACAATTCCCAACAAAGTCAGCGGTTCTGGTACCCGGACCCTGCCGAAGCGTCAAGCTCATGAGAGGTTAGCTACGGATGTATGAACCATTCATTCCCTTGCAATCCCCAGATCATAACATGATAGTATACTCCAAAACTATGCTCCAGTTGTTGCGGCCCCATAGTAAATCTAAGCCCTAGGCTGAGTTTCACAACTCGTCCCCTGAGACTCGTCGGTTTATCTAGGAGACTGAGTGCTGTTAATGCGTACCCTTAAAAAAACCTTCCGAACCCCATTGACACCTTGTGAAACCCCGTAATACCCTGATGAAACCCAGCTACTGCCCACACCTGCAAAGCCCAATCTCCACATCAAACCCGTACCTGCAAAGCCCAATCCCCTGCATCAAACCCACCCTCGGTTCCTGAACCCTAAACGCTAGATCCCCCAAACCCCAACCCTATGATCCTACATTGCACCCTCGTGGCCATATAGTGACCCTTCCAGTGGTAGCCGCACCCAAACCCCTAAACCCCTCAACCCCTCAACCCCTAAACCCTAAATCCCTCAACCCCTAAACCCCTAAACCCTAAACCCCTAAACCCCTAAACCCTAAACCCCTAAACCCCTCAACCCCTCAAGCCCTTAGACCTAGAACCCCGAGACTCCTGGGCCCCTCAACACCTGAACCCAAAGCCCTAAACCCCTAAACCCCGCTAAACCCCTGAACCCAAAACCCCCCAAGAACCAAACCCTAAACCCAAAGCCCTAAATTGCACAAACCCCTAAACCCCCTAAAGGCCCTGAACCCCTGAACCCAAACCCCCCCAAGAACCAAAACCCTCCCCACATCGCTCCTCCCAGAGGCTCACCGGATGCAGTGCACGCGCCGAGGCGGCGCCGGCGGCCAAGGCATCGCAGCCATCGGCCCTTGAAGGCAAGAGGTGGCGGTTGATGATATAAATCCTGCATTACCCATAATAAGGAATATACCATAACTCCCATAGTTTAGGGTCCTTAAGGAAATGCAGGATTTATATCATCAACTGTATGACTGGCCCCCTAGAAGGATGTATTATGAGGGTTCAGTCTTATGATTAGTATTTGCAAGGGGATGTACGACGAGGGCTTGAACGGAGTTCTATGGGTTTTGAATGCTTTCAAGGCTGTCAGGGTCTTGTGATTTGGGCATTTAAACAGGCAACAAAGAATCTTATGACTAAGGCTTTCAAAAGGCTCTATGGGGTTGTGTTTAGCAAAAACCTCGCAGAGCTTTACGGAAGCTGGTTAGGGGTTTGTAGTGTTTAGGAGGTTGTTGTCAGCAATGCTTTTCTCCTGGATGGATGCGTTTATCTGTATAGGGCTGAGTTATCCAGGCCTTTGAAATTCTAGGCTGTAGGGTATTCAGTTGCGGGCGTTGGATTTAGGGTGCTGGTAAAGCTGTGCCGCCAGGACACATGACGATCAGTCTTGGTGAGTACTATGACCATCCGTTAACATCTACGCCCCACCAGTGTTCCATCATCATCATCATCGTCATCATCATCATCATCATCATCATCATCGGCAGCATCACCATCGCCACCATCAGTCATCACTATCTCCGTGGTTGCTGCTGTATGGTCTTGATGATGAAGATGATGATGATGATGATGATGATGATGAACATCATCATGATCATGGTCATGATCGCCGTCATCATGATCCTCGACCTGTTGCCGCCATGGTAGCATGAGGATGGTGAACAGTCCCGTCAATGCAGCGGCTTCTCAGCCCATGATGTCGCTCATGATTTTTGCAGTAGCAGTACGATGTGGCATGTAAGCTTTTCCGGGAGACGGGCTCATGCAGTTTCAGTCAGGCCCGGTTGGGGCTTTCTGGATTTGCAGGAGATGAGCGATGACTTGGGGTTCGGAGTTTAGCCGCTCGAAACTTCGCTGGGTTTTGACATAGAGGGCATGGTCTAATCATGTGTAACTATAGCTAAAAATATATACTCAATTGGATATACATTTAAACTTAAACTGCATCTATGTGTACAGATGTATACATATATGTATAGGTACCAGTACATAAGTAATAATACACAGCGTATGCACATATATGATTGTGCACACATGTGTGCCTGTGTACATACATACATGTACGCACATATACACCTACGTCCTAAGCCCCCGGCATAAAGATCCATGAAGTCGACCGAAACTGCCCCGCCCTGGACTGAAAAGCAAAGTTGCCGAGTCTTTCGGCACAGCCGGCGCACGTTGGCTGCAATGAGCGTGGCCGAATACGCCTTGCGAGGCTCAGAACCGGTTCGAAACCCGTCAGGCCAGCCATGTAGATATCGAAGTATTTCGATAGGGCGTGGTTGTATTTCTATGCCCTAATATGGTTTTGAGGATGTGTCCAACAAACAAGATGCTACACAGGTCTCTGAATCAAGTCTGAACCCAAGCCCTGAACCCTCGAAGTACTGCTACAGTCTCAAAAAACGAGTTACGGCTTGGAGTTGAATCTCCGGTGTGTGTGTGTGTGTGTGCACGCACTAGGCGGGAACCCTATGTCTCCTCCAATCTTAACAGTAGTTGGAGTAGTTGATGTCGAAAGATACTCGATTAAACTGAAGATCATAGTGCTGACAATACTAACAGTACCGGGTTTTCGGGCTGGAAGGAAGCCCGGACTACGCTGTATGCCAGCGTTTGCGATGAAGGGGTCTAGAGAAGGGGTCTTGACATGTTCATGTTCCGCTCTATGTACGCAAGGATTGCAAAGGGTAGGGTTTGGGCTTTAGGAACTTTAGGGCTTGGTGTCCGGCGTTTGCTCAGAATAGTTGAAACCATTGCAGCTTTGGCACATAGCCATCTTCGGCATGACTGTCGTCCGACACACGCGACTCCTCTGCAGGCTTGGGGGTGTCGGGCCGAGCATCCAGTTTTTGTGATGATTCAGGCTTCAATTCAGGGTGTGCGGATTTACTTGGGTCTGGGGTCTACGGTTCAAGGTCCACGGCTAGGTTTGCAAGCCCTTCACACCCGGACGGCCACCAGGCAAGAATTCGAAACGCATGGCAATCACGGTGACATTGGCAGCAAAAGCCAAGACAATGCAGCGAATGAAGAAACAGAGATCTTAAACTTTAAACCCCTTCACCCTAAACCCATATGCTGCAAACAGGAAAACCATATCGTAAGTAGAACAGACCCTGGAACGTTGATCCCCAAACCCTCAGCCCGAACCTTTGACATTAAACTCTATACCAAACCCTCGGCCGTTTCAGGTTTGCCCCCAAAGCCTGCGAACCCTCAAAAAAAGAAACGTCGTTGAGGGTGCAAATCCTGAAACCTCAGTCAGGCAGCCGCAGATCAAGCTCAGGTCTTCCCACAGCTTGCATGCCATTGCCATTAGAGTTTAGGAGTTTCCCATCATCGTCAGCAGCAGCATCACCATCACCTGCATCATTCATGATGATCTCCATCATTGCTGTTGTCATTGTCTGCATGAACATCCAATATCCACTTCGCTGCGTCCTCTTCCAAGGGGTTGATCTTGGCCTGAAGTAGAACAAGTCTTGGGCTACGACCTTTTCGCGGCAGTAGTGCAGATAGCAGACGATCCATGCCACAAATCTACTCACAACAATGCATCATATTGTGATCTGCTACACCGTGGTAGAAGCTTCAGACTGTACTACTAAAAAACGTCTCTCAAGTCAATCCGGGCAACTTCCGAGCTCGACAAATCGAAATCGGGTAGTTTAGGGAAAAGAGATGCCTGGTGCGCACAAGACCATGATGGGATAACATGTATGTGCAGGAATAATATATTTGTGTGTATGTGCCTTTATATATATATATGTATATATATGTTTATTTATTGATTTAGATGTATATGTAGATAGAAATACGTCCAGAACATAGATGTACAAATATATCAACATGCCTCCTGGTCAAGGTTCTTACCGAAACAACCTCCAGTGCAGCAGCGGCACCGTTCCAGTGCGAATGAGGCCTCCCGCATCAACCTTAGAAGATAGCGCTGGTGGCCTTAATAATGGAATACTTAGGGTTTTGGGGCCCATGATACTATAATTATGATAAGGAACCCCCCAAAATAGTACTGGTAATTATTGAGGCCCCTATATTATTGGATCTGTATAGAAGTCTAAGACCCCTCTACGGCTTTAGGCTGCGTCAGACTCAGGGATCTTGAGCGCTTTAGGGCTTAAGCCTTTGGGCGTTTAAAGCTTCTGTTTCAGTAGCGGATGGCTTTCTCAAGGTGCAGGTTTCATGTTGAAGCTTTATCGAATGCGAGCTGCTTTCGCTTGCGGGGATGTGGCATTCGTATGTGCCCGAAGCAAGTCTGGAAGATGTAGCTCATAGGAATTCGCGGACGAAGTGACGTGTCAACTGTTGCTTTTCCGATGGCAGACACAGCACCTCCAGACACCCCCGAAACCCTGAACCCTCACCCCCTAAATCCTAAACCCCAAACTCTTCAGTCTGGAGCAAGGGGCTTCAGGGTGCAAGGGTTTTTGAGGCTCAGAAGCTGATGCAATTTGGGCTGTGGGCAGGTTTAACTAACTTCCACCAGTCAACCCTATGCACTGAAAAAGCCCCGAAGCCTGAACCAAAGGGCCCCTTTTATGGCTTACTACAGGGGCCTTAATAATGGAATACTTAGGGTTTTGGGGCCCATGATACTATAATTATAATAAGGCAATTATTAAGGCCCGAAATCTCAACCCTGAACCCAAAACCCTCGACCTGACGCGTTGGGCCCTTGGTCTGTGCTGCGAGGGGTCGTTTGTGCTGTATTTTGTTCCTACCTCTGCTCGTATAGGAGGTGGTGCATGTATACACTCAGGTCATGTCCGTGGAACCCTAAACTACATGCTCAAGACCACTGAAACCTGCATCCTGAGCTACCAATGAATTCAGGGTTTTGGGGTTTAGGGTTTGTAAGGTTTAGTCTTCAGGGGGTTTAGGGTCTGTAGGGTTTAATCTTCAAGGGGTTTAGGGTTTATAGGGTTTTGTCTTCAGGGGGGTGTAGTGATTATCATTGTACCCCATTCCTCCATTCCCTACTAGCCAAAGGTAAGTTTAGGGTGTAAGAAGTCCGGAAGCCGTGTTGATGTAGATCGCGTTGGGAAAGTCGGCCGCCGGACTCGAGGAGCCCAGGTTGTAGATGAAGTCCAGGGCCCGCCTCAGAGAATTCAGGGCTTTAGGGCCTTGAGGGTTTTTTTTAAGGGTGCATTGGGACTCAAGGTTTAGGGTTTCGGGCCTTTAGGGCCTTTAGGGCTTCCTTTTTGTTAGAAGTGTCTCGGCTTAGGGTTTTGGGGTTTAGGCTTCGGAGCTTGCAGGGTTTCAGGCTTCAGGGTTAGGGAATAGGGGTTGGGGTCGTCTTGATGTGTTTGGGTTTCAGGGTATAGGTCAGAGGTCTGCTGGCTGACAGTTCCAGGTGCAGCCAGACGGAGTTGCAGATACCAACCCTGAACCCTGAACCCCACTGGGTGGTACAGGGTGAAAAGCTTGAGGCGAGTTGGGCCTTAAAAGCTGGAAGATGAATCCGCCGAATTACGAGTACAAGGCAGTACCAGCAAACCCTGAGAAGCCGAAACCATGAGAAATAATATAGTTTATTATCATTGTTATCATTGCTATCATGACTATCATGATTAACCATATTAATAATAACAACAATACTCACGAACATAGTGCAACATAGCACTTTTCATAACAATAGTCACAGCAATAAGATTCATTATTGCTATAACAATAAGGCCGAGCCGCTGATTGTAGTAGTTGCTTAGCAAAGCCCAGTCCATCAGCGACTCGGGACACCAGGAGGTCATGTTCGGTATCTTGGAGCTCTCCGCGCAGTCCTCCGCGGCGGGCGGCTCGTGACTGGTTTGCGTCTAAGGGTTTAGGAGGGATTAGGGTTTAGGGGCTTCGGGATTTAGGGTTTAAGAAGGAAAAGAAGAGCCTGCAGCCTGAAACCCTAAACCCTACTGTAAAGCCCTAAGAAGCCCAAGACTCCAGCCCAAGCCGAAGCCCGAAGCCCTAGCCCCAGGCGTTCGGTCCTTGCTCCACTTCTTGTGCGCTCCGAAGACATCGGGAAGGAAGTCCTACCGTGACTGAACTACCCAGACCCCCGGGAGGATCTAGAAAGCAGATCCCCCAATTTGGGGCCCTATACTACTAAGGGTACTTTATAGGAACCCCTATTAAGGGATCTACTTTTTGGATCCTCCCGGGGGTCTGGGTAAGGGGTGCTACAAGGGCTAGTACGTGTTCTATAAGCGTTACGATCAAAGCGCCCTTGCAGAGCTGCTTAGAACCCATAAGGGCTCTGACAGTTTACCCTGTCCTAAACGGGCTCCGTAAGAAGTACGGCTCGACTTAGAAGCGGTGACTCTCACAAAGTGGACAGCTAGAAGGCGTTTTGAGTTTAAGGCCCGATTGTGCTCTAGAGTTTAGGGTTCAGGGGTGAGGGTTTTTCGGGTTGCAGGTTCAGGGTTGGGGTTTCGGGTTTGAAGACTGAAAGTCCCGAACTCTTCCCACGGGAAATATCCCCTCAAACTTTGAAAACAGCCAAACCCTGCGTTTCGAAAGACCTGAAAGACTTCTTAGTCCTTGGGCGGAACCCTGCTGCCTTCAACCCGACACATTCTCCTGCCTGCAAAGCCTGAACAACCCGGAAACCCCCAAACCCTGAGCGCTAAACTCCGACTGGACCTTAGACCCTAAACCACCCCACCCTAAACCCTCAAACCCCTAGACCCTAAACTCTAAACCCCTAGACCCCAAACCACCCCGGCAAGCTCGAACTCTGACCGCCCAAACTACGAACCTTGAACTTGCAGAGTCAAGGGTCGATGCCCTGAAGCCTGAACTTCTTGATTATGAGACCTGTAAGAAACCCAAAAAAACAGAAAACTCTACCACTCCCCGCCCCATTTTCCCCAATCCACAAAAAGAGAACTTCAAAAAAACACTCCAAAGAACTGGGACCGGTCCAGCTTCAATGCATCCTCGACGGCAGCTTGCGAAGGACCGCTCGACATGCTAACCTCCGGCTCTGTGGGTTCCCTTTCGGTTCTTTTAAACCCTAAACCCCTAAACCCCCAAACCCCCAAAAAACCGAAAGGGGTCTTGGGCTTAGGATTGGTTAGGGCAGTGGGTTCTGCACACAGGGGCAGGCGCTGGACTTTAGACCCGAAAGCCCTCCACCCACATGCCGAACCTTAAGCCCCAAACCTGAACCCTAAGCTAGGAACCCCAATAAAGCAAGGGCACCCTTTCTCCTACTATTCGGGTGAAAAAAAAGGGGACCCGAAAATTAGGAAAAAGGATAACAAAAGGCTATTCAGGAACCTAGTAAGTGCAAATCTCAAACCTCAAGCCCTGGCTGAAAAATTGGAGCCATGGAACCAACAAAAACTCGTTGCGAGCGCGGTCTTCTCGAAGCTTGCTGGCTCCTGAACGGGAAGGGTTTTTGTCTTAGGGTTTAGGGATTAGGGTTTTGGGTCTTTTATCTCCAAAACAAAACGAAACCACCCCTCCCTCGGGTTTCTCAACCCTTCCCCTAAACCCTACACGCCAAGGGATTTAAGGCTGTGCTGCATTGGACTGTAGGCTGGCCTCAAGCTTCGAAGCTGCAGTGCCTCGTAAAAGAACCCTTTCATAAGCGATCCTTCAATCGACCCTAAACGCCAAACCTCAAACCCCAAACCCTTAGACGGGGTTTAAGGCGAAAGGCTTTTTCACCGGACTTCCTGAACCGTAAGACCGCCCGAGACCTCCCAGACCCAGAAGTTGCAGACTCCCTGAACCTTACATGTTGGGCTTAGGCTTCAGGTTCATGGATTTGGGAGAGGAGGAGTCGCACTGCTGGCCCACACTTTCCCTCCTTCAAACCCGTGAAAAGTGCAGGGTTTTGGAGTTTTGGTCATCACTAGCATTATCACTAGCGGCAGCAGCAGCATCGTCTTGTTAGCATGGTCCTCAAAATGACTGTGTCAATGTTTCTGTCCTTGCGCCATGAAGTCCACGAACTCTCGTCCGTGACTCCCACCTGCCGTCGCCGGCTCGGTCCCCGCAATGAGGTTTGGTCATGAGGTGTTGCAACTTGCAGGCCAAGGCTGCCGGCTGCCTACTCGTGTTTGGCTACTGAGTCTACTGGGCCCAAGTTTGGCAGAGAGGTTTAGGGACGGCTCGTCTAGCCTGTCAGGCGGCTCATCACCTTTACGGCTCGGACTGAAACTTTGAGACCTAAACCCTCAACCTGCACCATAAATCGTAAACCCCAAACCCACAGCCCCCAAGCCAACAAAAACGACGGGACCCCAAACCCCAGATCCAACCCTCAACTAGCCTAGACCCCCAGACCCTACACCTGCACTCTCAGTCCCCCTGCCATACCAGGCCCCCCCAAGGGCCAGTCACTAGAGTCCTGATGGCCCTTAATAGTGGGTATTTGGTGTAATATGAAGAATATGGTTGATTTTTTATTGTTTTCTAGAGGTTTAGGGGTAATGACTTAGAATTTATCATAATGACATATTAGAGGGTAGCTGGGGCGTCGAGGTACCTTGCCTTTCAGCTGGTTGTCGAGGGACCTCGCATCCCACGCCCGTGCCGAGCTCCTCAGGGCAGCTTTGCTCCAGCGCCGTTCGGAGGAGGGTTGAGGGAATTGGGGTCTGAGGGTTTAAGGTTTAGGGTTTAGGGTTGGGGGATTTGGGGTCTAAGGGTTTAAAGTTTAGGGTTGAGGGATTTTGGGGTCAGGGTTTCAGGATTCGAGCTTAAAGTGTAGGAGAAAGGGTTTCAAAGGGTTACGGGAACTTGGGGTCAGGGTTCAAGGGTTCGGGCTTAAGGTGTAGGATTACTGCCAGGGTTTCAGTTAGGGGTTCAGGGATTGGCGACTATTAGTAGTCAAGGTTTGAGGCTTGCTTTGAACATGCGGTTCCTGAAGGGATACTGATGGTAGGGCTTATATGAGGTTCGGACAAGGTTTTATGCAGGGCCACAGCATGACGAAGGTAAGTAACGTTTTTACTTTGTTGGGGTAGTGTTGGGGTTTACAGGGCTTTAGAGGTTTTGCTTAGAAGGTTGCAGGTCATACGGGTTACAATTAGGCTTTGGCTGTTGATGGCTTTAGCATAGGAACTGAAGGGTTGCAGCTAGGATGATTGGGTGCATACGGGTTTTCGGCCCTTGCAGTTTGCTCCCTCCGAGTAAACCCCGAAAGCAGCATAAACCCCTTCAACCCGACACGCTGCACCCCAAACTTCCAAACTAAAGACTCTAAATCCGAAACTTCTACGCCGTATACACGAGCGAGCACCCTGAATCCCCCAAACCTACACCCGGGAATCCCGAATCCCGAAAGCCCCCAACCCTCTGCAGCTCGAAACTCTAAAACCTTCTACCTCCGGACCCTGCTTTCCCTTCCCGCCCCGCCTTCTGCTTTCCCCCTCTCTCGACCCTAAACCCTCAACCCCTCATCCCCAAAACGGCCGCAAACCCGTCTTCCAAAGCCCTTCCAATCGCGGCATGTCGCTTCGTCGACTCGGCGTAGTCCGACGCGAACCAAAGAAGTCGCCTGAAGCTTCGGGACATAGGGCCCCTTAGTCTTTGCATGCCTCGAGGGGTTAGAGTGGTTTAGAATTTATGAATTCAAGGGACTTGGGGTTGGGGTCCGAGGTTGGTAATCGGGGGCCCTGGTTAGGAACAGAACTTCCGAGTTGGGTGCTCGCGCTGGAAACTCTGAAGCTCCACCCGCATCCATAAAACCTGACCGTGCTTGGAGGTTCAGGGGTAGATATAAGTGGGGATATAAGTCCCCTAATTAGGGTGATATTAGGGTTATACGTATAGTTACCCTAGTTATAACCCTACTTATAACTACCCATGAACCTCCAAGTAACGCCTAAACCTAAAACCCTGCGCCCCTCAACATCAAACCCTAGACCTTTGCTGTGCGGCTGATTGCGGCGCTGAAGCTCCGCTACGCTGGTCTCATTCAGACCTCGGGTGGGAGGCATGCAAAGCCCAGCCCTTCGATTTTTGGGCGTGGGCTTCAGGGCCAGAGCATGATATTCTTGAACATAGGATCAAATGCCTTGGTATACTATAACATACTGATGTTGTATATGCTAGGTTCTTGCATAAGGTACTATAACGTAGTACGATACGTTCTAGTATAAGGGGTTGAGGGACTTTGTGCGGGATAAAGGACCATCAAAGATGGCCCGGGCAAGAAGGATAACAAAGAGACATCAACAACTCCTCATACGCCATACCCTGTAATCGGCCCCACGTTTCAAGACCTACAAAATCCCCACTAAACTTCACTCAGATTGAGGCGGGCAGGACTCCAGCGTCTCAAGGGGCTACAAGAGGGGCCTGGGCTCCAGGGTATAGAACAAAATTAACTACGGTTGATGATATAAATCCTGCATTACCCATTATCAGGAATATACCATTATTCCCATAGTTTGGGGTCCTTAAGGTACTGCAGGATGTATCTCAGCAACCGTATGAGTTAGTAATTCAGAGTCGGGACGGAATCCGGGGGCCTTGGTAGTCACCAAATGGTTTTGGGGGGTATGTTAGAGTCCGAGTACATAAACCCTAAACCCTAAACCCTATATAGATACTGGATACTATCACTAGAACCTCTGTCTGGGTTCGTATGGCTGTTAAAGAGCCTGAGCTCTCCTCTTCGAATTTCGATTACTCGTAAAGGGGATTTTCCGAAACTTAGGGGGTACCTTATTGTAGGGTCCTTAAAATGAGGATCCTACTATTTGGGGTACTTTACTAGGGTCCCCTAGTTTCAGAAACTCCCATTTGAGTACATGACCATCTCCGCTGCATAGGACTTGACTTTACTCACCCGATGGGCTGGACGATGAGGCTGTGGAGATTGGGGCCGGGGAGCAGTGATGACTGATTTTTTCCAGCGAGGCGCTTTGAGGTCTGGTGCTCATAGTCTCAGCTTTTCTTTCGATGGCTTTCTGGTTCAGTTCAAGGTTTCGGGCATTGATGCCCAGAAGCTCACGTTCTCCATGAGGAGCTCGCCGAAAACGTCCTCCACCTCCGTCAGGGAAGGACCCACTGATGGAAAAGATGCGGCGCTCTTTCGCCCGGCCATGGGCATTTAGAGAGGGTGGCGGAAGCCTTGGCAACAAGTGCCCTTTCTGACTCTCTAGCCCATCAGAGCTGGTCCTGCTGAGTATTGTGCTTTAGCTTGGTAAGGCTTCACAGAGCAAACTTCTTGCAGCTCATGTTCCAAGCTCTCTTTAGAACGTCAGAGTTCAGCCACCCCCCTCCCCCCCCCCCAAAAAAAAACTTAGGAAAGTAAGGTAGACAGGCAATCTCTTGAACCCCGAAAGAGTTGCATCCCGAACCCTAGAAGCCTATTCTCACAAAAAAACCTTGCAGCGTCGATCCCGAACCTCGAAGACCCTCAAACACGAAAGCCAAAACCTCTGCGACCCAAACCAGTGTTATCACCCAAAGACTCTCTTGATCTCTACGATGCTGGACCGCCAAACCCCCTGCAAACTCCTACCCCAAAAAAAAACACAGAGCTCCCAGCAAAGACTCTAGAACAGGTGATCTTTTCTATGGGGACCCTCAAAACCTAGACCCTACACCCGAGAGAGCCAAACTGTGGGCCTGTTTGAAGAAGGCTTGTCTCTCGGACGGCGTCGTTCCCGGATACCTCCACGATTAGCTCGGGGTTTCGGAAAGCACTGTACCCTAAATCCTAAAGCCTGAACCCCAAACTTGCTCCAAGCCCAGCTGTATGGGTTTTTGGGTTCCTGGACCGAGGTTAGAGCATCTTATGCGCTAGTCTCGGGGTTGAGCGTTGAAGGCGCGAGGCACCCCAAACCCAGAACATCAGTCTCGAGTCGAACCCGCCCAAACCCTCAACAATGCATGAAGCTCCAGAGACGTATCCTAGCTGCTGCGTTCCCCTTCTCCCACTGGTTTGCATCGATTCTGGGGGCTCAACCTTGCCAGAAAAAAAGTCTGTGTCAACGACCTTTTGGTGTTGGTAGCCGCAGCCAGGCTTGTGGTTTGTACTGCAGAGGCCCTCAAAGCCTTAAGCTTAGCAGTGGCTCCATGTTCAGAGCTTCCAAACCTTGAAAACTCGAGCGCCGCGGAGTCTTGGTATTTCCCCGGGTCTGTCCTTCACAGCGATCACCCTAGAAGCAATCCTAAATCCTGCACAACTGAACCCGAGGAAGCTTTGCAACAGTGTGCAAAGCCGTATCAAAGCCAAGACAACCTTTTCAAGTGTTACCCAAACCTGGAGACCTTAAAGAACACGGCCCCAAGATCCTAAACCACCGAAAAAAAGAAACAGAAAGGCAGGACACCAAACTCCAAAACGAACCCTAAACCCAAACCCTAAACGAACCCTAAACCCCTAAATCCTTGAAATCTTTGCAAGCCCCTGCAGCCAGACTTCTGATCGGTGCCAGTCAGTGCCGCATTCCCATGTCGTGAAGCCCAGATCACCACCACCTCTAAGCTTTATAGGGTTGAGGGTTGAGGGTTTAGGGTTTAGGGACCTCTTCGCACAGAGGCATCATAGAACCCTCATAGAATCCTTATAGATCCCTTTAAAGGGACGCTTAACAGTCTATACGGGGGGGTTTATATCGGGGACTGAATCATTAGAGTAGGTGTTGGCTTATACTGTGATGTAGCTACGTAAAGATGCCTGAACAATCTGCAACCTCATTCGTTAGGGCGCCAACCCGATTAATTATACTTGTTAAGGCCCCTACATGGAGGGTTTAGGATCGTAGAGCGGTGCTGGGAGTTTGATGTGCGCTAGAGGCCTATTTGGGTTCAGGGCTCAGGCTGTGGGTTTAGGGTTTAGGGTTTAGGGCTTAGGGCTTACGGTTTAGGGTTTAAGGTTTAGGGGTTAGGGTTTAAGGCTTAGGGTTTAAGGTTTAGGGTTTAAGGTTTAGGGCTTAGGGGTTAGGGGGTATAGATTTCGGGCCTCGGATTTGGAGCTGATCGTACGAGGGTTTGGGCCTCCTCTGGAATTTAGGGCTCAGGGGTTCAGTAGGCAGTGACTCGAGATGCACTTTTGCGCCCGGCGGGAGTCTGCACATGTGCCGGCTGCTGGAATGGTCCATCAGCAGTGGAAAATTTCGGTGACCTTGGGCCGGGTGGGAGGGTTCTTGAACCGAAAACCGCCGTAAGCTCGTTTCTCCCTCGTCACTACTGTCAGTGACTCGAGATGCACTTTTGCGCCCGGCGGGAGTCTGCACATGTGCCGGCTGCTGGAATGGTCCATCAGCAGTGGAAAATTTCGGTGACCGTCATTCCCCATTAAATCCGCACATGTCCAAACTAGCCTCCTGGCCACAGATTGTACCAAACGTTGCTCTGAATGCCTTGCTTCTTCCAGGCCCACGCCTGCCTGAGAATATCGGTAAAACCTCCAGCGATCTGCATGAGCTTGTCTTTCTGCGGCCGTGGCAGCGACGGCAGAAAAGTGTTCGCTGAGATCTCCTGAAGATAAACTTCCATGACCTTGGCCGAGGCCCACCTGCCTCGACGTCGAACTAATTCGGAATCTTCGGTCTGCTGCAGGATGTAAGTGGCTCCTCCAGCTGTGAAAGAACCTAAATCTAATTCTCGGACGCCGTGTGGGGCCGGAGATGCCCCGATCCTTTTGAGAATCGAATCCAGGCGCTTTCGCAGAGTTTGTGGAGAAAGGGGCCACAAAAGCTCCCCTCGTTGAAAATGTTCGAAAGCAAGTTCGGTAACGCTGACAAGATCTGCGGCCTCAACCTTAGCGGTCTGATGGCGAGGCCCTTTATGTCTCGTCTTGGGCTCCTCGATACGCACCAAAATATATTTCTGCGTGTCACAAACGTCACTAGGCAGCACTAATGACGAACGTTTACACTGAATAACCTCGCCGATTCGCAGCAAACCACCAAAAGCAAGAGCGAAGCAGCCAGCCTCCCGGGTCCAGCCCCAAGCCAAGCTCGCGGAAAGGATAGCTATCAAGATGACAGCTGGGATCGCCGTGTGATGAGATGTCGGTTCCTCAATGAGCCAAGCGAAGCCCAAATCCCATGCAGCTTGGACCTGTCTTCTCAAAACCGGCTTCAGAGACGTCACCGCGTTGATTGTCTCGGAATAGTGCCAGTAGGGCCGTCCTGAACCATACAGATCACGGCCATACCGGACAACCCAGTCGCTGACAGCCTCTGCATCGAGCGGCTTCGCAGAAAGTAAAGCGTCCAGGCTGAAACCAGCAACCTCGAGGAGCCATTGCGAAAAAGCTGCGGCTAGATCAACCCTGTAAGAACCAGTTCTAGGGAGCACGACTCTTCCAGCGGGAAGTCCAAGAGGGGACTTTGCCGCACGAGCAACGTCGGCGGGGTTCCTCGGAGAGAGGACGGACAGACAGGTGGAGCAGCCCAAGAACACAAAAGTCCAGAACAAGGCAAGGCGGAGAGGCCCCTCACCTGGGTAACCGAGGGAAGAGTCAAAATCAAACTCGGCTCGGTGTGCAATGCACCACTCACGGTGATCCTTCTTAGGGAGCCTAAACCCGAGAGCGCGGAGGCGGCGCTGTTCGTGTGGCCGGCGTTTAGGAGGCTCCTTAACGCAGAAAGCAACAGCAACCTTGCGGAGCCCCGTCCACGGCCGGGTGAAGTGTACTCTACGACTGTCAAAAACCTTCGGGCCGCTTGCAACGTCGTAGAGCTCTCCTGTAAGTTGCTTCCTGCGGATGGCCTCACACACGGACCCACCTGGAGACTGCACCCAAACCTCACCACCACTAAAAAGACTAATGGGGCATATGAGGTTGAAGGAAGCGGGTGATTTCGATCCGAATGGGGGCTAGCCTTAACCTGCTGAAGCAAAGCAACGGCGGTGAAAGGGAAGCCTGGACTAATAGACCTGACGAAACTGCAGACAAGCTCGGTCGACTTTGGAAATTTGGCACACGAAACCCGGAGGCCACAGAGGGGGCCTTGGGCATAGGCTCCGGTGGTCCAGTGCTTAGAGTCATCGTTATCGCCGAAGCGGTCTCTGCCTTCACAAGGGAGGAGGTCGAAGAGCTCTCCAATGGTGAACGCATCGGTCTTTCCTCCTTGCAGGGCCCATGATGCGAAAGCTTCAGCTGGATGCAAAGCCGATCCAACGGGCATGAAAAGGCTAGCTGGAGGTGCCCGGGGGCAACCTCTCCAGTCGTCGCTGCAGATGCTCTTTATGAGCTTTTCACGTGGGGAGCCAACGGGCACGAGCAGGAGACAGAGCCGGACCCATCTAGCGCGCGACTTGTTGGCACCTGAAAGCGTGCACAGTTCAACCGTCGCGGCCTCACTCAGCTCTCGAAGGGCAGATTCGGGGTGCGGCTCGCGCAGCGGCACGTCACGAGTGGGGTCATCGGAGACGTTCAACCTCGTGGGGCCATAGAGGTAGGCTGGGAAGATTCCCCCGGCGACACTAATGGCAGCAGCCCTCCGAAGGCTTGGCCTTAGCAGCTTAGCGGACGAACGTCCTTTGGCCAGCGCTCCCCTAGCACACGAGGAGTCAAGGATCAGGACCGGTCTGGAATCCCGGCCCTCCCTAGCGATGTCCCTAAGCTTTGTCACCGCGGCCTCTGTCTCCAGGCAGTTGATGTGCCGTTGCCGCTTCCAGGCCCATTGCGAGTCAACCTGCCAATCACCTGTGAGAAGAACCTCATTGACCGCTATGTTCTCCAAACCTGGGCTGAGAGGGCGGTCATTGGCATTGGCAGAGACGGCGGACTGCAGAAGGCTAACTAACCCAGAAGCAGCGGCCTGAGGCACAGAGCGGCTCGCCCAGAAAAGCTTCGGAAACTCAGTCGGGCAGAAGGCTAAGCCCGGCTGGCCCAGGCTACCTTGAGCCCCGATCGCAGGTGGAACGATCTGGACTTTGTCGACTGCTAGGAGATTCCGTGCTGGAGCGGTGGTCAGCACTCCCGCTCCTTTCTTATACAAGAACACTGCCGGAACGGAGGCCCTCACTGCCGCCTTTAAGAGGGCAACACTGCGCTTGAAAATCATGCTGGCCCCTTCAGTGACAGGACCTCTTCCATCGCGATGTTTCGGCAGGCAAGGGGTCAGCCCCGCCGGGAAAACAATGGCAATGCTGCGGGCTTTCCCAGCCCAAATCAAGTAGAGGGCCCACTCGAAAACTGCTAACCTACGAAGATCGTACTCAGGGGAGTGCCTTGGGTCTATAACCGGCGAGCATCTAAGACCCTTCTCCGCTGCGGCAACAGCTAATCCGGCAGCTCCCTCGAAGATGAGGAGAACATCGAAGTCAAAGGCGAGGGGCCTCTTGGCTGCAACTTCAAGCTCTCCGTCCTCGTGGTCGGAATCAGGGGGAATGCAGTTTGTTGCTCCGCCGTCGAGCATTGTGTAGCATCCCTTCTTTTCGGCTGCTAGCCAGAGCGAGGCTGCCACCTCCTCCGGCACTTTGGTAGAGCACGTCGCTCCACGGTTCATCGAGGCATCAGAACAGAATACCCTGTCACAGAAAGGAGCAGCAACATTGCTGAGAAGGACAGGGGCAAGCGAAGCCAGGACGACGAGTTCCTGGGCAACCTTCCTCGGGAGAAAACGAAGGCCACTTCCAGAGGCCTGGGCTGAGGACTTACCGAGCCCAAAAAGGCCATCGAGCACGGCAAAGAGCGGTCTCCTGAACATCAGAGCGGAGATCCAGGACCCAGCGAGATTTGAGGCAAGCTCCTCGGAGATGGCGGGCATCGCTGCCGTCTTCAAGCTGATCACCGAAAGAGCAAGAAGCTTCGGAGTTGCGGCTGAAACGAAGCAGCAACCGGCCTTAACAACCTTATCCGAAGAATCAACCTGGGCCCCTGCGCACACTATAAAGTCAGCCCCGAGGATATCCTTATGGGGGGAGCCCTGAACTTGATCCCTCTCATAGATCACGTGGGCTGCTCTGACACGGCGGGTGGCCTCGGAGGAGGCTGGATCAGCAGATGCAGGCTCTGAGGAGAGGCAGTAGTAATCGTCTATAATCAGACCCTCCCAGGGGCCAAGTCGAGACGGCGCCCTTTTTGCAAGCAGACGAGTAGGTGGGAGGAGCAACCCTCCTTCCTCAAGAAGGTTCCCGTGCGCCTCCGTCCCGTATTCTACTCCAACATGGTCGCCTTGATAGACTGATCGAAAACAGCCGTAGGCAGGAGTCTCTGGGTCGAAAAGATGGCGGGGCAGCACAGCCGGGGAAACCAAGCGGGCTTCTTCTAGGACGGACGCAAGGGGCCGTGAGGGTCGCGGTCTCGCGAGTTCAGATCGAACAAGCGCTCTAGCAGAACGCAGAGTCTCAGTGCCCTCGAAATCCTCCAAGCGAAGCCTAGGACCGGCAGCGTTTCCCTCGGCCTTTGAACAAGATACCTTTGCCTGATGGTAAAAATCAGCCCGATCAGTACTAGCCCCGATGATCTTCGTACCTGGCTTGGTAGTGATGCACGTGAGCATCTGCGCTCCGTCAACTCGGCCCTCGCAGCCGTTGGCCCCTCGTCGGTCGCCGATCTGGCGATCGGCGGCGTCGGACTTGTAAGCCCCGAACACCCGAGTCAGCTCTCGCGGAGCCTTCTCAAGATGTACAACAAGCCTCTGGCGTCCCAAACTCTGAAAAGATCACGCATCCTCGCGGGGTCCTCATTGCTTGCATCAGGGTAGGGCAACGAGTTTGGCGGGATAGACCTCAGCACACGGGGCTCCAGAAAAGGGAGCAGAAGCTCAGGCCCCAGGTAGCGCTCGAGAGGCCACTCGCCTCGTCCACTTATCTTCAGCCTCTTTGGATCTGCGTCCCGATAAGGCCTGAGTGCTTCGGGGCCGTCTGCCCCATGAGGAACAAAACCCGAAGCAAAATTCTCCCTAGGGTAAGGAAAGGCAGAGAGTCCCAAGCTCGACAAATGCAAATCGAGCTCTCTCAGCCTTGCGATGAGATGGGGCCCTCGTCGGCCCGCTGCGAGGGAATGAGACCCTCGCTCACTGCACGCTCCCAACATGGTCCTCAGCCTCGAGAAGATCGTCTCGTGCAGAGGAGAAGGCGATAGGCATAGGCGGTCGACGGGCACATGTTTGAAGTCGGAGTGGAGGAAGTTCAGGCACATCACCACAATGTGAAGTACTCTCTGAAGGAGCACTCGCCTGCCTTCGAGTCCAGCCTTTTGACCTAGCCTGAGACACCTGCGGGCCGCCCGGCCCAAACAAAGACAAGTCTGGTATGGGCAGCGGGAAGAGAGCGGTAAGGGAAGCCGGAGGGCCTCTTGAAAGGGCGCAAAAAGTGCTCTGTAGGAACTTCGCAAAGGAGGTCCTGCTAGCAGAGATCAGGCGTGGCAGGGCAGAAGCCCAAGTCCAAAAGTCAAATTCAGAGCTAAAATCGGGGACTCCATCAAAAGGGGATGCATCCGAAGCTCGTGGTGCAGCGTGGGGTTTCGTAGTGCTCGTAGTCACGCAAGTAGCGGCACAACCTGACGGCCCTGTGGAAGACCCAGTCGTATGCTGGCAGGGCGGAAGCAGCCTATCAAAAGGGCGCTCTGAAGTAGCAGTTGCTGAAGGTGGGACCTCATCGAAGGTGGGAGACGAAGGCTCGGAGGCGAGCCCAAAGCCAGCATCATCAGGCACTCCGGCAGACTACATCCTAAACCCTGAGACGAGGCCTTATAACCAACCGGCAAGGGACTATGCTTAGGGAGAACAAGGGGAGGGGAAGAGCAGACGGGGCCAATACAAGGCCACTCATCTGCAGGCTCCACATCCCTGGGAAGACTCCGATTCAGCTCTTCGGCTGAGCCGCCTTCCTTTCCGCCCAGAGTTTTGCCCTTTGTTGTTTGCGAGACAAAGTCCCCGGCGCTTTCGGTGGCACATCCGGGGGCGGTGCCCCGCTGGGTTTCTTTGTCACTTCTGCCCGCCGCGATGCCAATGTCTCCATCTCCTTTACATAAGAGAGCGCAGTAGCCACCCACCTCGGGTCCGATAAGTGGCTGCACGGGCGCAGGCTGGAGCCTGCCACGTTTGACGGGGCGGAGAACAACTGGCTTGGTGGATCCGGCTGGAGTGTTAATATCCAACCAAGCTCTGGAGAACCAGAGTCTAGGACCATCTGGTCCACCATCACCATCAGCATGGCTAAAGCATCCTTTGCCCCGGCGACCTGGTCTGTGCCCAGCAAATCGAAGATTTGGGCCAGCTGCCACTGCACCAGGCCCCAGGTACGGTGGTCTCGGAAGCCACCGTATCGTTCGAGGTACCTGCACATCACCGACCTTCCAATCGCATCCTCGCCAACCTGGAGAGGGCCGGAGGCGGGGTCCATTCTCCTCAATGCAGCCTCCTGCACTTTCTCGAAGAAAGACCCATTGCGAGCAGCAAGCTCCTTTTGCAACTTCAATCTGGCCGCCGAACCCTTGGTCGACAGGGACGAGCTTCCTCCACCAAGATCGGAGAGAGGATCTGATGAGCTTGCCATCTGAGCCACCAGCGCAGTGAGGGCTCGACTCTGTGCCAGAACCGCAGCTGCGATTGGTCCACCAGCGTCCAGCGGCTCCTCCTCGATTGGGCCGACTCCCAAACCGTCGTCCATCGGGAGCCCATCCAGATCGGCGAGAGGAGCCTTCGTTCGGGGAGGTGCCCCAAGCAGGGCTGACACTTTCTTTGGCCCGGCGGGGCTCGCTGCAATCGCTGCTGAGACAGGCATGGCCAAGGCCGGCTGAGGCAGTGGGACCGCTCTTGTCTGAAGCACCTGAGGCGGCTCGGGAGTCGGGGCCACCACGGCTTGGCCTGCACTTGCGAGACTCTGTACTTGAGTCGACAAAGCCTGCAGGGCCTGCATGATGTCCGACTGCTGCGCGGCCAACTGAGCGACCGTTGGCTTCCTCTTTGGCTCCACTGGAGGCCCCTTCGCTCGTCTGCCCAAAGTTGGGGGCAGGTCCGGAACCAGCTCCTCCGCCGTGACGTAGCCGGCCCCTCGGTCTCCTTCCACACCTGCGGTCCAGCTGGTTGCAAAGGTGACCAGAGCAGTCGCCAAGGGATACATGTTTGGGTGCTCGGAATCGGAAGGGACCATATCCGCAGCGCCATCCACTTGCGTCTCCACGCCGACAAGGGCTTCCTCTGAGAAGTCGGCAAGCAAAACGCTGAGGTTTCTGGCCGGGTAAACGCCGGCCCATTCTCCCGACTCCACCAGCTCCACCGCAGGGGCCGAAGTCTCTGTGTGAGGGCCGAGTGCCCCACGAAATCCTTCCCCGAATGCATCCAGAAGCACCTGAGCAGGCAGATATCCTGCAGGCAGCACCAGTAGGAGACCTCCAGGACGTTTCAGCACGCAATAAGCCGCGGCCCAGGGGACCTCTCCTTCGAGGCCTAGGGCCAGAGCATAGTTCACTCTCAGAAGCACGACTTCTCCAGTGTCTGCAGCTACTATTTCCTCCATCGCTGATATACGCAGGACTAGGGGTAAGTACAGCCGGCTGCTGCCGTAAAGATTCTGGCCTCGGTTTCCGAAGCAAATCCGTGGGAAACCACCCTAGGGTCCCTAAAGTGGTCAACCAAACGAAGGTAAGAGCCCCGGTCCCTGCAAACCTGAACGTGACTGCAGCCGCTGGACCTCAACACCACGTAATAACGTGACGTGAGGGATATGGGTGGGCTGCTGTTAGGAGAGGAAATGCGGCCTTGCAAGACGGCCCCTGCCCAACACCCTGCTTTCCACGCGCGCTCGGCCCGCTCGCGTGCTGGCACAGAACCCGACCTAAGAACCCTAGCGGAATCCAGGTGGAACCTAGGGATAGGGGGGAAAGAGGCCTCGATCTCAGCTCGAGTTTCAGCACGGGATGGACTAGGGGTCGGTGGATTAGGGTCGCTAACTACCTCAACCCAAGAACCACCCTCAGTTGAGCTGGAAGCCGGGGCACTCGGGGCCCGTGATGCACTGGAGGCTGCTGCCCGAGGCGGAGTCCTGGGGAGCGGTTCAGATGATTGGCCAGGAGGCCGGGTCCTTGTGATGGAAATTCGAAGCCCCTCGAGCTCCAGAGACAATTCAGTCACAGCGTCAGAGGCGGGTTCGCCCATACAAGGAGAGCCGAGCCTGCCCTACCGTAGGTTGTGCCGGCTCGGACACCCTGCTGTTCCGCGCGAGGCTTTGAAGTCTAAAAGAAGATGAGGAGAGGATGAAGTAAGCAGCAAGCCCAGCTGCTGCCAGAAATCCAAGAAGAAAGGAAAGGGCGATAGCCGGGAGAGCTGCTCCGTTACAGTGAACAGGACACCTCAATCCCCAAAGATCACTCCTCACACCTTCCAAAACAAACCCCAAAGCCTCCCGGAAGACAGGGCCCCACACCATTCTTGAACCGAAAACCGCCGTAAGCTCGTTTCTCCCTCGTCACTACTGTCAATGAAGGCAATGAAGTTTAGGGTTTGAGATTTGTCGGGAGAGTACTGATAAAGCGCTGCGGCTTGCAGTAAAGGGCTTGGGTCAGGGATGGATTCCGGCTGCTAGCTGACATTCTGCGGGAGTAAACCCTAAACCCTAAACCCTGAATATTGCGGTACATGTGAATGCTCTTCGATCGCTTGTGTGCAGACATCACTCAGGGCTGAAGATATTTGTGGGGTAACCTGTTGCTCAAGCAGCAACCCCTAAACCTCACAAACCCCGAACCTGCACCCCTTCAAACCCTCAACCCGCACAGGGAGGGAGGGAGGAAGGGAGGAAGGGAGGGAGGGAGAGAGAGAGAGAGAGAGTGAGAGAGAGAGAGAGAGAGAGAGAGAGAGAGAGCGAGAGAGAGAGAGAGAGAGAGAGAGAGAGAGAGAGAGAGAGAGAGAGAGAGAGAGAGAGAGAGAGAGAGAGAGAGAGAGCGAGAGAGAGAGAGAGAGACCGAGAGACAGAAACTCAACACCCTTCACAAAAAGACGGAGCGCCTTTCAAGTCTCGAACCCTGCACAAAAGACTCCTAAGCCTGAGTGAGACCTTGACTGTGGACCCTAAACCCCGGAACCTGAAACCAGAGAACCTAGACCCCTGAACCCGAGCTGCTAAACCCCAAATTCTAGATGCCGCCTCCTTCGGATGGGCCACCATCCTTGGCACGGCTTTTGGCTCAGGGTTTAGGGTCTGGGATCCTCTGGCAGGGCGGGAGCTCAGCTGGGAATCTTGCAGTTTTTCGGTAAATTGTGCAGGCCAACCCCCAGGGCTGCGCCGACCAAACTTCGTTTCTTTCCAATCACTAAAGGAAGGCTGCCGATTGACAAACAGTGGGCTTGGAGTTTAGAGTCGTTTAGAGGTTAGGATTAGAGTTACGCTTCGAGGTTCTGGGTTTAGGCTAGTCTGCATCCCGTGGCATCTTTGCGCAAGCAGAGATTGGAATATGCTTCGGGTTAGCTTCATGGGACCCGAAACCCTCAACTCTAAACCCTAAAGACCGCACGCTGTATGAAATTCCGGGGCTCCGGGAGTTTTGAGTTTGGTTTAGGGTTTTGGGTGCATGCCGAATCAGACGCCATCGCCGGCATTACATTGCACATGCAGCAAGAAAAAGCAAAGGTTGAAAGGACTCCGGAGAAAAAGATGAAACATGGTTGAACCAAAGGCTTGTGTAGAAGATGCGATATGGAGCCGCTGCTTTGAAAGTAGCAGAGGGCCGTCTGACGGGTTCAAACCAGACCCGAAGCACTACGCTTACTCCAAGCCCTGAACTCAATATCTCAATACCCTAAACCCTAAACACCAAATAGACCAATATTTTGTTACTCTCGGGACCAATAAAGTCGGCCCGGTGGAATACAGGCTGAGCGGCCAAATAGTAAAGAAGATGATCTAGTTACAGACATGGCTCCAGACTCCAAACCCGAAAGCCCGAATAGAGGGGCCTCCACAATTGTTACAGGGGTTTGGCATAGTTTAGATAGTTTGAAAAAAGGACAATAAGGGGATGCTACGGAGTAACTAATATTCAGTCTGTCTGACCCCTAAGAAGGACCCTAAGTTGAATCTCTGCTGGCTGAGAAGCCAAGCATGGACTTCGCGCAAATACTCGATGGCTTTCCGCTTGGATTCCTTGGCTGTGGTTAAGACTAAGTTAGGACATAAAACTTAGGCTTTAAGCTTCTTGCGGGGTTCACGGTCGCCAAACCAGACATGAGCGAACAGCACAAGGGTGTTTCGTGCCAGTGGGGGTCCCGAGAATAAGGATCCTAGTGTTCGGGGTCTCTGTCGGCGCCCCCTCGTTCTTGAAACTACCAGGTAACTACCACACTGAACTGAAATATACAAATATTCATAAGTACCAAAGGTTATAAGGATCTCGTCGCAGTTAGAAGTATAGCTACCTTTCTAAGTTCCATAAGATACCTAGCAAACTACAGGCAAGCTCTACCCATGGAGGCCCAGGCGTCGCAGCCGTGCAGGCAATACCACTCCTTCCGGGGCAAAAACGGGCGAAGATCGTAATGAAAAGGAATTTCGGGGTCTGGGCGGCCTATGGTGAGTTTAGGGTTTTGGGCACAGGGTGAAGTCCTAGTCCACGATTTTTGAGCTTGAGGACTTTAGGCTCTACTGTTGATTTTGCGGTACGTCTTGAATTAATGAGCATGTCTTGGTACGGGGCTGCAATGCGGTACGGGGCGGTACGGATGGGGTACTCTGCGGTACGGACGGTGGTTCTAACTTCCCTGGGGTGGTTCTAATTTGGTCCTCGCGCGAAAACGACAAATCTGGTTCTAACTTCGCGCTCGGAATTTCCTGCGGCCCGAGGTTTTGGCTCCGGGTGGTTCTAACTTGCCGTCCGGGAGTGTATGTGCCAGGGACCGGAACTTCTTTGTTTACCCGGGCCCTAAACCTTCAGAATCAAGCCGCTGCGCTAACCTCAATAATCAAGACAAAGCCTGAAACCTGAAAGCTTGCAACCCCAAAGCCCTCAAACCCGCACAACTTCTCAAATCCCAGAGGCCGCCTAGCCCCAAAGTTCCAGAACCCTGCCAACCCTGAAACCCCAAAGTCGTAAAAGCATGCAAAACTCCTGAACCCCTGCTACGAACGCATTACTTCAGCTAAATTAATAAGCCCCTCCCCCAAGGCCCTATTCAATATTCAGACCGCTTTTTACTGAGTCTTTTAGAACCCCATGGAGCCCCTGTAAAGCCCCAAACCTTGTAAACCATGCACACTCCCCCAAAATTCAGCCTACTTGCCCTCAAACCCGAAAGACTAACCCGATGCCGGACAGAAAGTCCCCTTCATGATTCGGCCCCGTGACTTTTGCAAAATCCGGAACCCGGTCCGCCTTATTCCCAGCAATGCGATCCGGGCCGACGCTGTACCTGAAAAGGCAGGTGTCGGTCTTCTGGGGACTCAAAGTGGGGCCTGGGGGGGGTGTAGGGCTTAGGGTTTAAGGGCTTAATTTAAGGGTTTAGGGTTTTAGGCTTAAGAGTTTAGGATTTCTGGGGGCTCATTGGGGGGGGGGGCTTGAGGGCTCCGAGGCTCTCAGGGTTAGGATTCTGGAGCCCTGCAGAGTTTTCGCGATTTTGGCTGTACGGGGAACGGGCCGAAGCTTGGGGCCTTGAGTTTGAAGACTTGTGTCCCCACGACAGCAACGACGACAGCAAGATTAAGGATAATAAAGAATGGTTTAGGGTTTAGGGTGTTTAGGGCTAAAGAAGGACCAGCATCAGCAGCAGCATCGTGCTCATGGTCGCAGGTCGCACGCCAAGTTTCGGGTCCACGTTCAAGACCCGAAACCCTTAAACCCCTAGACCCCTAAAGCCCCCTACAACCCTAAACCCCTAAACCCCCGAAACCCCTAAAACCCCTAAAACCCTAAATCCCTCAACCCTTGAGACCTCAAGCCCAACAAGAAACAACCTCCTGAACTCCACAACCCAGAACCTAGTCTCTGACATTGCATCACATACTCGTCAATTTTTCCCCAATATATCCCAACGCCACAAGCCTTAACCCTGCAGCAGATGATGAACCCGAAGCCCTAAAGCAGCTCGCAGACCCCAACCCTGAAGCAGATCGTAAACCGTGGACTCTAAGGTCATGATCCCACTCAGCCCCTCTTTTGAGGCTCACATGATCCGAAAGTCGATGAAGCGAATTCCGCCCTCAAGCATCTCCTCAGCAAGTTCAGGGTTTAGCCTTTGGGGTTCAGGGTTTAAGGAGGTTTAAAGGGGTTTAAGGGGTGGTGGGCGTCGGGTTTAGGTTGACAACCGCTTCGGGGAATATTGGTGGGGTCTAGGCGGGAAGGCTTTGGGTGTAGTAGTTTAAGGGAGTGTCAGTAATCCTGGAAGTAACACATTTTGGACAAATTTGCTTTCTAGCAACCCAAAGCCCAAGCTCCCGAACTCTTAGAAACCCGAACCAGGTTTAGGGTTTTTTTAACATGTATGTATATATATATATATATATATAGGGTTGAGGGTTTAGGTTCAGGG